TGAAGACTAACATTTCATGTGTAGCCTCAGAGTTGTATTGCAGCGGTTGCATGGTTAATATTACCATTCATTTTCTTATGCTGTTTTGTATTGTTTTATATATTGAACATATGTATATATGTTTTAATAAAAAATGTTTTTTATGGTTGATCAGTATTGTATTTAGTTAGGACCAAATAAATGAACGAATGAATAAACAAATGGTCCTTGTCATTGATTACTTCCTTTTATTGATCAAAATGACTTAACATAGAAAGTTCACCTTATCGTCTATTTCCCTCATTGTTCTTCGTGCAGGCGGCTATGTATAAAGCACTGTTTAGAATCCATTTGGCCCACTTTAGAAGACTTTTGGGAGAATTCCTCTCTATCTGTAATGTTAAGTAGAACCACGGAGGAAGCCGTGTTTGCCGGAAGTGTTGACATCAATCAGCTACTCGACTGGTGTAGCACAACCACGCGTCGAACCGTGCCACCGCTCGCGCACCAGAATCTTATTGACTATAAAATGCATCGATATAAAAAACAGGCAGGATATTTTGCAATGAACTTTTTGCTGTAAGTTTGACGTAAGTCGTTCTTATTTATGAATTTGAGATTGTGTAGTTCCCAGACGTCGGAGCGGAATTCAATTTCTAAAGGACTTTCTGTGGTTCAACTTACAGCCTATTCTTCTTCTTCTTCTCTTCTCATCAATTTTCTTCATTTTCTTCTTCATTTGAGTGAAAGTGTGCCTTTTGGATTCTAGGCCCTCTTATGCAGATCTTTCTTAATTTCTTTCCTCTTTATACCATTAATCTGATAACACAGACTCCAGACATTTGAAAATTATGGAAAAAGAATATTAATAAAAGTAATCATTCAAGGCAGATGCAATTTCGGCCTCATAAATTACATTAGTACAAATATTGGCTTCTCACATAAGGGGTCAATTGAATCTTGGTCTGTGTTTTGGCATCAACTCTTTTTTCCTCTTACACACTATAGGTGATTGTTAAAAGTGGTGTTTTATAAGTGAGTTCTAGTGGGTATATCTGAATAGATTTTGTTTTGAAAATAGCAGACGGTTATGGTTACAGTAAATGCATTCTGTAGAAACTATTTACTCATGTGGCGCTTTTTCAGTATGTAGTGGATAAACTGAGCTAAAATGGCGGCTTGTCCTATGTTTTTCTTCTTTTTCTTTCGGCTTTGTTCCTTTTTTCAGGGGTTGCCACAGCGAATCATTAATTTCCATCTCTCCCTGTTCTCTGCATCTTCTACTCTGACTCCAACTATCTGCATGTCCTCCCTCACT